AGTCACAGAAAATCCCATCTGATAATGGAGAAAGTTCATGTGTCTGACAGCAGAAGAGCTTTATGGGGGGTGCTGATCAAACTGATTCTGGGACTGGAGAAGTAACTGTTGGAGGGATAAAGTACCCTTATTCCCTTTATTTTCAAAACTGTAATCAGCCCCTCATTCCAGTGTAGCTCTCTTACCTGGAAGTCTCCATGTACCATTTTTATAGAGGAAGGAATTGAGGCATGATGAAGAATTGCTACTTCCCCATCATCACAGACTATGTAAACGTTGTAACCACAGCTAGACCCTCCAATTCTGCTTTTTACATTTCATTTCAACAGGACCAGCCGAAATCTGTACGTCAGTGTAGGCGCAAAACACAATCAGGATGTTATTCGGATTAATATTTATGTATCTCATGGCATTTCTGTCAAAATACTGAATGCATTTAATGAGAAATAAAAATAACTAAGATTTGGGCTAGGAGGATGGCTCAGTTGGTAAAGTGCTGCTGCATAAGCATTGGAGCCTGAGTTCTGACCCCCAGCATCGATGTAAAAGACTGGGCCCTGTGGCTCACATCTGCAATACTACCTCTGGGGAGACAGAGACAAGGGGATCCCTGGGGCTTGCTGTCCAACCAGCGTAGCCAACTGGTGAGCTACAGATTCAGTGAAAGAGACCTTATCTCAAAAAATAAGGTGAAGAGTGATTGATGAAGACATTCAATGTCAATCTCTGGCATCCACATGTGTGGGGATACAAGTGCATGCACACACACATTTATACACACATATACACAATCAATAGCTAAGATCACAATTTTGACTCCATTTGGGTAAATTTCCTGACCCTTTTCTACTCTATTTCTTATCTCTAGAATTCCAGGGCAAGAAGGAATCTTAGGAACTAACTCTTTAAATTGTTTTAGAGGCAATAAACAATCCAGAAAGACATGCAAAATAAATTATGAATATAAAAACATAAGATACAAAATTATTGCATACAAGTAATAAGACTACATGAAAAACACTGCCTCTTCATTCAGCCCTCTTCTTTATTCAGCCCATCTCAGGCACCGCCACTTAAAACATACCAAATGTAAGTCACATTTACATTTACTTCTTCAACTTGGCTGTCTTTTCTTCCTGACAGACTCAAGGTTAACACTCCGATTTCATTCAGGTTTCTGTGTCTCTAGAACTCCTCTCTGTTGGCTTTAGTTTCCTTACCCTGTTTTGTCTCCATAGCATCTTATATATTTATGAATTTGTTTTCTTACCATAAGAGGTAAACATATTACTATGTCCAAAGTGCCCAGTATACTCTCTGGACCATGTTCCCAGTGCCTAGAATATTGTCTGATACATAATATGACTCAGTGATTATTGAAGAAACACATGGAAATTCAGTAAAATTTACTTTAAAATCATAATGTATTTTAGTTAATTAGTGAGCTGCCTAGACATAAACTTCACATACTAAAAGCAAAACATTTTATATTTAAAAAGAATAACCAGTGAGATTTAGTAGAAATCACTTTTACAACAGCAACTACAAATATAAACTTCCTAGACAGAAAAAAAAGAAATTTTCAGGGTCTGTCTGGAAAGAAAAAGCCAAGCAACAAAACCTTTAAAAATTCCTGTTGTACCCAAAGAAAATTTGAATAAATGAAAGTCAAAGTATTTTCTTAAATGGGAATGTGCAGTTAATTCTTCCTAGGTTCATCTCTAAATTTACTATGATTTTAATATGATTATAAAGCGCCTGTCATGCAAGCATGAGGACTTGAGTTCAGATCCTCAGCACCTATGTTGAAAAAGAAAAAGCTGGGTTCAGCAGCCTGTGTCTGTAAACCCAGTGCTTGGATCAGGAGGCAGAGATACATGAATCCTTGGAGTTCATTGGCTAACCAGCTGAGATGAATGGATGAACTCCAGGTTCAGTGAGAGACCCTATCTCAAAAAGTAAGGTGGAGAACAATTGAGGAAGACAACCACGTTGACCTCTGGCTTCTATACACATATGCACTTGCAGACACATGTCCCCCACACGAACATGTGTATAGGACACACACACACACACACACACACACACACACACACATACAATGACCAAGGCAACTTATAGAAAGAAGAATTTATTTAGCTTACAGTCCCAGAGGGATAAGAGTCCATCAAGACAGAGAGGCATGGCGGCAAGTGACAGGCACAGTGGCAAAAGCCAAAAGCAGAGAGCTCATATCTCCAACAACAAACAGGATGCAGACAGAGTGAACTGGAAGTGGGCTCTGAACTCTCAAACTCTCTTAAATCTCTGCAAACAGTGCCACCAACTGGTGCCAAATGTTCAGATATGTGAGCCTAAGAGGGACGTTTGTCATCCAAAACAACACATACACACACACACACACACACACACAGACACACACACACACACACACACACACACACAGCATGTGCTTGCCTATTTACTTGTGAGTATAAAGATATTGACAGCATTTTGGTGCATGAGAAGAATTCAGCAAGTTCATTATAAAAGTCATATAAAATGTGGAAGAAAAGCCATGAAAGTCCAGAATAAGAAGCATAACATACTAACTCTTCAAAGATTAAATCATGTTATAAACAGAAAATAATGAAATCCGTATGCTGTCAACACATGAATAGAAAATGACTAAGATAGAGGGGAAAACCCCTAAATAAACCTAAATACATACACAAAAATTATATAGAAACTACAGCTTTTCAAATCAGTGGGGGAAAGATGCATGATTCAGTAAGTGGTGCTGGAACACTAAAGTGTATCCTTACATCACACCCAATGTCCATATACATCAAAATACAAACAAAATAATTTTTTTATTGGTAAGAGAAAAAAGACTGGAAATTCCTGTCTACCCATCAGGTAAAGAACTGGTTTATATGTAGCTGTCAAAAAGAATGAAATAACTATTTGTTAAGAAAAAATTACCTTTACCATACAGGAAAGAAAAAAATAAGACCTGAAAAATGTGTTTAGAGTGCTACCATTTGGGAGTAGGGACAGTATTTCCTTGTTTATAAATAAACTATTTCTGGAGGGATACATGCCAACCTAAAAACATTTTGACTCTGTAGAGCAAAACAGTGATTGGAGGAGAGAGTGGAAGGGAGATTTCACTGTAAATTGCTTCATGCCTTTTAACTTTGAACCATATGTATCAATTAATTATAATTCACCTGCTGGTAATTTAAAGTGAAGTCACATTAGCCACCAGGTGTGAGGATGCTAGGTTTGAGGGACAATTGATGCCATACCCAAACAGTTCTCAGAAGAGCCTGGCTCTCATTCTTGCTTCATCACTGCCTGCCAGCCAGGCTTACACAAGCACCCTCCCCACACAGGGCTGATCCAAGAAAGGTCAGAGAGACTGATTTCCAGGGCCCTTTCTGACTCTTGACCAAAGATGTAAATTGCAGTTTTCCCTCATACATTTCTTAAGTCATCTCTCCACTTCCTCCTTTCCTCTGAAGCTCATCAAAAGCTCAGAGGAAAAGACAGACAATTGAAGAAAATAAAATTGCAAAGATGACTTTTATAGGTCTCCCGTTGAATCATTGTGCATTCCACCTCCAAAGCTGAAAATGATGAGTTTAATATCACATAAAGCAGTGCATCTTGTATCTCTCAAAGGACGGCTTACACTACCCCCGAGATCTGGGAGTTCAGCAAGATATAATTTTTCACTCCAACTCTGAGGAAAATGAAATGACAGTCATCTAGAAGCAACATGGTTTTCATTTGGCTATAACTTCATTTGAAAGTGTCCCAAGGAGGGATCATCCTCCCATATGTGGACTTTTCTTCTTTTTAAAGACTATACACTGAAGGAAAGATGGCTAGGTGGCCAGGCTTTGCTAGTGTTGGTCACTGACAACAAGTTCATTGTGTCACGAGTCAAGAATCCTGGGTGTCAGTCACAATTATTCTGTGAACCTGGACAAATCTCCACATTTAGGTCTGTGCGAATTTCGTGAGGTTTGATAAGATGTGTATTAACTGATACATAAGAAGAGGAGTATTATATTTGAGGGACATTGAAGATCTAATGTCCTAAAAATCCTCTTGTTTTTGCCAGTCCATTATGGTGTCTGGAGTCATCTTTGGTATCTTTTGTTCCATCATTCTGCAGATAGTTGCTAAACATCCTGCCTTACCAGAACCAAGGCTGTTATGGAAAACTGCCTACCTTCAGGGAAGTTGATAAATAATATCATATCAAGCTAGGAAGTGTCTTAAATATGTAAGCAGAAAAAGCCTCATCAATGTCAGTGATGAAAAAGACTCCCCACACCATGAACCATGTATGTTACTGGGGAGGAGGTGTGGCATTGTGAAAAATACTATATAAAAGAGTTAAGACTTCATGTTAAGCTCCTAGAATGGAGCCTGGCATGCATTTTATATATATAGGAAGTGATAGCAATTATTACTGTACTTGACACCCACTATACTTTTCAGGCTGGATCAAAATACATATTTTTCAGATTAAAAAAAATTACTGATGCTCAGAGTAGGGGCATGTTTTACCCCACGTTCCCCAGGAAGAAATGGAAGTTGAGACAAAACTGCAAGAATGCCCAAGGTAAATACAATTATTACCTGGAATATATTTCTTATTAATCAGAAAATAATTTCCCATAATGTGTAATCATGAACATGTTACCAGCTCTGTATAAGTAACGTCATGACTTACTGCAACAAAAGCCTTACTTCTTTGGACACCTCTAAAGAGAGATATTAATGGTAGTGCTTTCAGACCCTGAGGACACATTGGCTAACAATGTACAGGAACTGATCCTCACCTGTAACTCCCCCTCTAATCATATTACAAGTAGCTGCCAAATCTATTGATATAAAGGACCAGCTTGAAAGGGTGTGTGTATGGGTGCATGAGTGCATGTGGTATGGTTTCTTTAAGGTGAGCTCTACAGTCCTGAACTTCTCATTTGTTATCTGTTCAACAGAAAACAAGCCTGGAGTTCTATATTGACATCCATGCTCACTCCACCATGATGAATGGCTTCATGTATGGCAATATCTTTGAGGACGAGGAACGGTTCCAGAGGCAGGCCATTTTTCCAAAGCTCCTCTGCCAGAATGCAGAAGACTTCTCCTATGTAAGTCAAGAGTTCTCTGGTAGCTAGCCCCAGCCCTGGATCCCTCCACACTTTTTCCTGTCACCGCCTCCCTCCTTTTCTTCTGGCTCATTTCCATTTGGTTTAACAGTGTAGTATTTTGCCAGTCTGGTTAGCTGGCATTTGTTTAGTGAATCTGACTCCAACATTAATAAGGAAAAGAAACTCATTACACGTTTCCCTGTTCCATGCCTAGCCCAGGGTTTGTTTTCATTTGTCCCAGTTCTTCAAGCATCAATGCAATATGTCTGCTCAAAGGGGTTATATATCCACCATTCTCTATTTCCATGACTTACCTGGCCTCAATTTCTTTGTCAGTAATTGGTGTGTATATTTTCTACCCTGCCTGCACCATAGCTTCCTGGGTGGACATATCCAACTATAGATATGAAAATCTCTTACGGGCAGTAAAGACCTCAGCACCCTCCAGAGACTAATGATGTTTCTACTCACATGCAAACTGGGCATGATGGGCTGGGAAGGGGCAGTTAGAAATTTTGTAGCACACAGAAAACTTAGAAAAGAGCAGGGAGAGATGAGGAGAAGTATCAACACATGGTATGGGGACATAGGAAAGTTCCAGCTCATTTTCCTTTGTTTCTCTGAGCCTCGTTACTTCCGTGTAGCCAGAGGTAGAGAGCCCACAAGGGTCAGAACAATTTTTGAAGTTGATGAGCTGAAAACCCACCTGCCCATTGCTTCAGGCTGGACATTAGTGGGGATGACTAATTTCTTTGTGAGGTAAGAAGCACTTTCAGTTACAGAGTTTTGGATAGCAGACCAAGAAAAGAATCAGAAGTTGTTTAGTTCAGTCTTTTCTATACCCAAGAGACACCTATGGACCAGAAAAGTTGAGAATGTAGTATAAAGTCCTCAGCATTTGGGGACTGAATCAAGCAGGTGCCTGCCTATTATAACAATGGGACAAAACACCTACATTTGTTCCTGTAGAAACATGTGCAAGGGGGTCAGTCCTGATTCTTTGAAAATATGAAAATTCCAGGGAAGGGTGAAACCTCCAGTTCCTTGGAAGGTGTATCACTAGTTTCAGAGACATTCACCAAGGAGAGGGGACTCCAGGATCTATAAATGGGACATCATCTGAACTTTGTTCCTGGGCCTGGTGGTGTGCCTGCATCTCAGCACCCTTAGGACCCAGCTCTGGGCTGCCATCAATGCCATCTGTCCTGGTCCCATTCCTGTCTCTTCTCTGCTTCTCAGAAACTGACTAAAAATGAGAGAGTTGTGTTTCACCACATAGATCTCAGAGGACTTTCATATTTGACATTCTGCGATTTTCTCAGCTTCCTTTTGCCTCAACACGCACACACATTTTAGCTTGTCTGTCTCTTTTGCTTTCGTTTTCTTTTTTCTACATTGATCTCCCGCTGAGTACTACACACATCCTCTTACTAAGCCAACTTCATTTACTTGGATTTGCATGGAATGGCACTCTAACCTGAGGAGAACTGGCCCTCACCACTGTGGGAGAACTGTTATTACCACCTCCACTATACACCAAAAAGGCAAGCTCTTTGCTCTTACACAGCTGGGAGGTAGGAGAACGTGTGTCTGAACAGCAGACCTCAGACTGGCCTGTTCACCCCTCTTTCTCTGTCTATACAGATGCGTGCTGCCAACATCTTACTAAAGAAGCAGCCATGATCCCCTTGGCTCATGTTAGATGTGACTTCAGCTTTCTCTAATGGAATGGGGAACTTTGGGGTACCTGGAGTCATTTAGTCTTGAGTTCAAATCTGTATTGTTTAACTTACTTTCTGTACCTCTCTGAGGCCCTCTTTCCTCACCTATAGACAGGTAAAATGTAAACACCAAACTTCAAGGATTTCTTCTGGAGCCTATATGAATTACAACCCAGGGAACTATATTGTCAAGTTCAAAGTTTAATTCTGATTATCATCACAGTGTAGTTGCTTCTTATTCTCCACACACCTTTTCCTCCTCCATCTGTCACCACTTAGATTCCCACAGGTAGCTGTTGAGTGGCTGTCACTATGCCCTGACAATTCTGCTGAATGCTTTCATTTAATTATATTTATTTACTCTATTGGTCCTCATAATGACTGAGATGTGAAACTAAGATCCCATTCTTCAGATAAAGAAATTGAGAACTAGAAGTGTTGTAAGATTTGTTCAAGATCTATTAGCTGGTGTCTGACGTCCAGACCTGATTCGCTCTTCTCAACCTTATCTTTCACAGACTAGCACATCCTTCAACCGGGATGCTGTGAAAGCAGGAACTGGCCGTCGCTTCCTCGGTGGGCTCCTGGACCATACTTCATATTGCTATACCCTAGAGGTCTCCTTCTACAGCTACATCATTGGAGGTACCACAGCTGCTGTGCCCTACACCGAAGAAGCCTGTATCCTTAGCAGGTCCCCTCTTTGCTTGAACCAGCCTTCATCCAGCCAGGAACATCAAATCTGGAAGGATTTACTAGGCAGATCAGAAGTCAGATCCCAAATCAGGAAAGTATTAAACTCTGGGGTGAGGACAGAGGAGGTGGGTTCTATTGGCAACATCTTTGGATTATTCTCTTTGTTCCCAACTTTCATAAGCCCTTCATATGGACATCCTCCCAACTGCCGCTTCAAGACCTCATGAGTTCCTTGGACCCCCTAGCCCACACAGCCTTTCTCGTCCCTCCTCTCTTTCTTGAGGTACTGAGTCTTCTGCCCTGAATGTCACAGGCTGGATGGCATTCCAGGGCTGCGGAAGAAGAGCTTTAACTCCTCCTTCTAACCACAAACACATAGGGCTTTTGCATCCTGTCCTCTTGAGCTCCTGCTCTCTCACTTTCTCTTTGTGTTACTTGCTACTTTTATTCTTCTTCCCTCTAGTCCCGTCTCCTTTCACCAGTCGGTCCTCATCAGTCATGTGTTCTCTCCTTACTTATCCCCCCCCACTGTCTTTCGTCCTATCACCCTCCCTTTCTCTCTTCTTTGCCTGCATTTCGATTTTTCCCTGTCTCTTCACTCTACATCGTCTGCATCTGTATTTCCTTTGACAAATTGCTTTTTCTCCTATTAAAAAAAAAATTCTCTGAAAATGCCTAAGCTTACTGTGATGAAATTAGGGGGTTACTTTCTAGCTTGTTTGATTTTTCAAAAGGATTATTCAGTAATTCTAGCATATTTCAAAGTCATTGCACCAGAGCTGTGACAGATTCTGATAGATTCTGCTTTCATTTATCGTTTGGTCTATAGATTGATTCCTTTCTCTTTTCTAAACCCTTCATTTTCTCAGAAAAAGAATTATAGTTGAGGGAGTTTGCAAAAGGAAAAAGTGGGATAAAGTCTGTATACAGTTGTCCCTCAGCATCTTGATGGATTGGTTCTAGGACCTCCATGGAATACTGAAATCCTCATATACTCTAGTCCCTTATGTGCAATAATATAATATTTGCGTATAACCAGCACATATCATCCTGTGTATTTCAAATCTTCTCTAGATAACATAATACCTAATGCACTGCAGGAGCTGTGTAAATCATTGTAATGCTCTATTGTTTAGGGAATAATGACAAGAAAATTATCTGTACATGTTAGTACAGACACAATTTTAAAAATATCTTCTATCCAAGACTGGTTGAATCTTCAGCTGCAGAAACCATGGATATGGAAGATCCATTTGCTGTAGGGGCTAATTCTCCCTCCTGGAAATGGAAGTGTTCCCACTCGCTTTCTTTACTCTTAATGAGTGTTCATGGAGTTCCAACCTTTCTCTGTGCAGGAAACATCTCTTCTGATAGTGGCATGACTTAGGACAGGTGCACCCAGCCCACTGCAGCTTTGGTGGTCATCAGTTATTTTGCTGGGCACATGGGAGATCAGGGTGATAGCCTCAGAGGAAGGATCTAGCAAGGGTTAGGCAAGGTTTGTAGAGCAGTGTTTCAGACCCTTGAAGAGATCATGATAAGAACTCAGTGCCCTCCCATAGTCACCACAACTGAGACAGTCATCTCAAATAATGCTTTAATATCTTCCTGACTCAGCAAGGTGGAAGGAACAGGCTGTGCTCTGAGCCTTCCAAAGTCCAGGCCATCTCTTATGTGCCCAAATGCCGTTGCCAAACTTTCCCCCCACCACCACATTTGATGATGTGATTCCTGACTTCTTAGTACATGTGAAGCAACCACTTTGCTCTCCTACAATATTGTGGCAAAGCAAGAATTACCTAGAAGAAGTTAGAGCTTGTGCACCAAAGGTGATTCTACAACTCAATTCACAACAAGATGTGGAGGCCAGAGGAGGCCTGCCGCTGGTTTGTCATTGTTTTATGATGTCTAATTTCAAGGGTTCTCCTACTCTTTCGCTGTACCCCTGGCATGGTTTTTGTGATAGAAATTTGACTTTTAGTAGAATAACCCCTCCTTAGCTCAGGGTTCCTGTCCCTTAATACCCAATACTGTTTCATCAAAAGTAAACACATATTAGTGTGTTTCAGGAATCGTACCAGGCAACTGGGGTAAAGTACTGAAAAGGAGGCCATGAGTCTTGACTCCAGGGCTGTCCTTCCACTTAAGGGGGCAGAAAAGGGAGCATATAATTAAAATACTTGTAGGTTAATTGATAGAGGAATTCTATAAGGCTATGGGCACATACCTGCAATCCCAGCACTTGGGAGACTGCGGCAAGAGGATCATGAGTTTAAGGGCAGCCTCGGCTGCACAAAAAAATCCAGGACCATCTGGAAGGTCTTTCTTCAAAAACAAATAGTACTACTACTAATAATACCAACAATAATAATGACTGCGTGTATGTGTGTGTTTGTAATGAGTGCCTGCTAAAGACCAGGTCAAGTTCTAGAAACAGGGTAGCAGTGACTAAAAATGTTATTCCATGGTGATGAGGGAGAATTCAAAACAGTCCTGGGAGTCAGAGAAGCCTGTCTCTTGGAAGACTCATCTAAACTGAGTTTTAATATTGGGGAAGAATTAGTCCAGTGGAGTTGGAATGTGTTACTGAATCCAGTGCGGGGGGGGGGGGGGGGGGGGGGGAGGCAAGGCGTGCATGTGCAGCTGGAGCTTTGACTGGTCCAGTTTGGTGGAAGGCCTTTAGATACAAAAGAGAAGTCTAAAACTGCAAGCTGAAGGGAATTTGAACTTGAAGATGAGGTAATAAAGATCAGAAGAATTCTAACAGGAGAGGAAAGTCACTGGCTGCTCTGTAGGCAGTGGCATACGTTAGGAGACTGCAGATGGGAGATGGTTCTAGCTTGTGCTGTGGTGATGGCTGAAGGATATTTAGAATGTAGGGACTAAAGATAAAGGAATTGTGTCAGTGAATGGAGAGGCTATGCACCACCTAGTCTTGAGTTGTTAGTCAGTGGAGCAGAGGAACCTGGAGCGGCACCAGGGAAGCACAGACCGATTTGGTACATGCAAGGTACCAAACACAAGCTCTTTGAAACACGTTTTTTCCCCCACATCTCACCTCATAACAGAGGGAGAGCAAGCAGACAGATTGTGATCTTTGTGGGCTGCTAGCTCAGTGTCCCAGTCAGAAAAAGAAATTACATGGTCTGATGGGAATGGCAATATAGTGTGGGAAGAAATGTCCTATAGACTGGGAGTCAGGAGACCTGACTCTGATGACAGCACCAGCCTCACCCCAGATAGCACCCTTCTGTGAGTCCTTGAGGCTCTGTGAGATGAGTGTCACATTTGCAAAGCAACTGAGGACTTTTACAGCTTTCGACCCCTGCTATGGGACATTTACAAAAATAGGTGTTATGGAAAAAACAGTCTTTGGATCAGAGTATCTGGGTTTGAACCTTAACTCAGCCGCTAGGAAAGGGGCCGCCTTGGACAGGTTGCATAACTTCACTGGGTCTCAGTTTAATCTGTAACTTGAAGGGCATGATCATTCTCTAAGTTGTGATGAAGTTAATAGAAAGAGTTATATACATTTTCAAAGGCTTCCACTATAGCTGGTGACCTTTGGGACTCTGGCCTCTCCACAATGTGACAAGGATACAGGTCTGGTGTCAGAGTTCTGGGTGTAAGCTCTGTTTTCTTTCATCCTTGCTAAGGACTCTAATTCAGTTTAATTACTCTGAACCTGTTTTTCAGTTGTAAAGTGAGGGTAACAATCATTTACTTCTCAGAGCTGTGAGGATTATGTGGGGAAGCACACACTGTCATGACCAGATAAATCACCACACCACATGCTCGGTGGTGTTAAATTAGTTCTCTCGCCTTTCCTTCATGCCATTTGCTGTTTTGTTGTTGTGAAATGATAGATTCGTGATACTTTGGGGCCATTCTTCAGCATACCCTATTTACATTTTGCAGGCCTACTGAGTAATAAATATGCTCTGTTCAACCAATTTAAGAGAAAGAAGGCTAAACTGGAATCATAAACTAACCCAGAGCTTCTCTGGACTGTGTTTATGGTCCTGTTACAAGCCCAGAGGAAATAGCTCTTTGACACAATAGATGAGAAAAACATTGGGAACCAAGAGCTTGGGTCTTGAACAGACTAGTTTCCACTTAGGCTTGTGGCTGTGGACACACTGAAATCAGATAGTGCTGGCTCAGGAGAACAGTAGAGCTGGCCAAGAGAAGATATTAAGATTCTGAGTCAGCTAACTGATCTCAATTCAGAACCCACCGTATCCATCCCTTGCACTGGGTTCTCTGAAACATTTATCAGATACTGAAGATGTCGTTATTTACTCATCCATCCAGCAAACTCATTAGGTACTGGAAATAGATAGATGAATAGGCAGAGTCCCTGTCTCAATGAATAGTTTCAAGGAGAGAGAGGAAGGCACAGAGACAACAGCATCACAGAGGATGAATGCCATGACAGAGAAAAGCTCTGCTGGCTATAGGCGGGCAGTGAGTAGGGAAGGGAAGAAAAGAAACTTGGGCTCGGATTTCCAGGGTGAATGGGATGCAGACTAGGAAAGAAGGGTGGAGCAGCCATCCCCTGGCAAATAGAGAGAGGTATAGGAGACAGCCCAGATGCTAGAGGAAGGATGCTTTGTCCAAGCATTCCAGGGTAGATGGTGCTGTGCCAGAAATAGGTAGTGATCAATAAATATGGCAGAAAGATGTGTGAAAGAAAGAACCAGCACACTGAATATGCAGCACTAACAATCATGAAAACAATTTTACTGTTTGTTTCTGGCTTTAGAGATAGATGGAGATAGACTGTAGATCTAAAGATGTAAGAGCACTTGGCAGGCTGCGTGAGCTCCCAGTCATTCGCAGGAAATCAAGAAGTATGCTAATTAAGTCTCATCACAAGATAGTCTCAGTTGAGCAATTACTATGTCTGGTCTGATCTGAAACATCAAACCTCTACAAAGAAAACCCTCACTCTGTATCAAACAGGCTGTTCATGAAGACCCCGG